GTCCCGGAGCCGGAGAGCGGCTCGGATGACGACAACGACGACCGCCCGCAGCCGTCGGCGGCGGAGATCGCCAACGCGGTGACAATTTTGTCGAGCGTTTATGGCGACGATGTCACCTTGGCGAAAATACGGGCAAACCAAATTGCCTCCAAGCGTAGTTTGAGGCAAGGCAGCATCAAGGACTTTTTTAAACCTGCCTGATGCAATAAACTTCAGATTTTTGGCGAAACAAATTTTTCGGACTGTTCGATTTTTCGTACTTTTTTTCGGTCCCCGCCAGGTCCGAAAAATCGGTCGGCGGCTGTAGAAGCACAAGCCCACAAAACTGCGAACGCCCTTTGTTGACTTCGGAACAGGAAAGTCCGTGACGGCGCGAATTTTCTCGGGATGCGGGCGGACTCCTGCGGCATCGACGATGTGGCCAGGTACGGTTATTTGACGACGAGCAAAGTGGCATTTCGACGAGTTTACTTGAAATCCGGCTTGACGAAAAACTTCAAGAATCGCTGATAAACGCTTGAGATGGGAGTCGAATGTGGGCGAGAAAACGATAACGTCGTCTAAATAACATAAGCAGGTTGACCATTTAAACCTTTGAAGCAATGAGTCCATCATTCTTTTGAATGTGGCCGGCGCATTACAGAGACCAAAGGGCATAACTTTGAAGTGATAAAGCCCGTCAGGAGTGATGAATGCGGTCTTCTCACGGTCCATCTCGTCCACAGCGGTCTGCCAATAGCCAGATCGAAGGTCGATAGTGGAAAAATACGTAGCACCGTAAAGGCAGTCTAAGGCATCGTCGATTCTAGGCAACGGGTAAACATCTTTCTTCGTAATTTTGTTGAGATGCCTATAATCTACACAAAAGTGCCATGTTCCATCCTTCTTTCTGTTCAGGACGACAGGAGAAGCCCAGGGGCTACAAGAGGGCTCGATTATGTCTTTTGCAAGCATCTTTTCGACTTCCTGTTGTATGACTGTGCGCTCGGACGTGGAAACACGGTATGGACGTCAGTGAATGGGACTCTCGTCACCAGTATTGATGCGATGAGTAACAACACTCGTTCGGCTTAAAAGCCGTGCTGGCGAAGTCGAAAATGTCACTATATTACTCCAGGACGTGACGAAAGGCTTCCGCTTGATCAGGAGCGAGGTCTGATGGTACCATGTGGTCAACGTCGACGCCCGATGAACGTGATACAGTTGGTTCATGGTCTGAGGTGCAGCAATCATCCACTCTGAAGGGTTCAACCGTATGGTCTTGTATAGCAGTAATTTCGGCCAGGGAGATACCCTGTGGAAGAGTTTGGGCAGTGAGGGCAAAATTGACAATAGGAAGGCATGTGCGGTTTTCAACTATTGTCAAAATGGTGTGCGGAACAGCGACGCCATGCGTAAGCATCACGGCATGAATTGGTGCCACCATGTAATCGCCGTCAGGTACAGGTGGTGTAGAGAAGAGGTCGATATGTGTGACACAGTTAGGCGGAAGGCGTGCGAAATCAATGCAGCAAAGGCGACCTTGGGATGGTTTGGTCAGATCAGAAAGTAGAAGCATTTCATGGTCAAGACAGCCGGCTGAAGAATCTATAAGGGCCAAGTGAGCGGTTAGAAAATCCATGCCTAGAATTACTTCATGAGGGCGATTTTCTATAACGGTGAAAAGAACAGCAGTGCTTCTATCGACGATAGTCACACGGGCAGAGCACATGCCAATATTCGCGGCAGTTCCCCCGTTGGCGACTCGAACGGCTCGGTTCAAGGCGGGTGTGATAACTTTCTTTAGGCGGCGACGAAGAGCAGCACTTATTATGGACACATGCGCGCCGGTATCGATCAACGCGCGCACAGGTACATTGTCTAAAGTAACGTTCAACAGATTCCGGGTGGTCGGTAATGTTACACGAGGATTTCTTGCAGAGGTCGTCGTCAATGCAGCTTCACCTCCAGAAGCTGCACTGCCTAGTTTTCCGGTCGGGGGCGCTGCGAATAGGTCAGAGAGGCAGGACGGCGTTGTGGGGGCGAATGAGATTGACGGCGAGCAGGGGATGGTGAGCGGGCGTAGCGAGGTCTCGTCAGAGGTGCGGCAGAATCAGAAGATGTGGTCGGCATAGGGGAATCAAAATCAAATGTTGAGGACGACTGGTGGACAGAAGTGGCCTGGGTAGGAGGCCCGTAGTGTGCCGGTGGAGCCCAGTGATTGCGGCAGTGGCGAGCAATATGACCGACACGTCGGCAGTTGAAGCATATAGGCTTGTCGTTCAGTGTACGCCATTCGGACAAATTGCGCTGTCGAGAGTTGTTGGAACCAAGTCGAGGAGCGGAGGGACGACGATAAAAAGGCTTGGCAGAGTAGACTGGTTGAATGGGGTGTAGGCGGACGTTCGATAATTCTTGACGAGCGACGGCTTGTATCAGTGAGATAGTGGTCGGTGAAAGATCAGGCGTCGGAAATGGAGTAGCTACTGGTTGGGCTGCCTCGACCTCGCGACGAATGATGCGGGTGAGGTTGTCCCATCGGGGAACTGGGCGGACGGCGTCATCACAAGAGGAAGTAGCAGCTGTGTTCGGCAGGGGCGTGATGCCGTGGGTGACGCGGCGGGCTTTGGCCTGTTTTAGACGGCGGCATTCTGTCAGGATCGTGTCGATGCTCGTGACATTATTAAAAACCAGCAAGTTGAAGGCGTCGTCAGCAATCCCTTTGAGGACGTGATTAACTTTTTCTTCTTCTGACATGCGCTAGTCGACCGTGCTACAAAGCACCAAGACCTCAAGAATGTATGAGACGTACGATTCAGTAGACGTCTTGGCGCGAGTGGCGAGAGTCTTCGTGGCAGCGAGCTGACCACCAGATGAATCGCCGAAAAGATCACGGATCTTTGATTTGAAAAGATCCCAGCTTGTGATTTCGGCTTCGTTGGTTTCGAACCATGTCCGCGGAGTGCCGTCGAGGTAGAACACAACATTGGCGAGCATGAGCGTGGGATCCCAGCGGTGGGTAGCACTGACTTGCTCGTACCGGTGCAGCCAGGAGTCAACATTGATGGTGCCGTCAGCAGAGAAAGTTCCAGGATCCCGCAGGGGTGGCAGGGTGACGTAGTTTGTCGACTCGGATCGAGAGACCGGTGGGGATGAGGCACTGGCAGTTGAAGTAGCCGAAGAGTCCCCGGTGTTGCGACTGCTGCGCGTCTTCATCGAGGTACGGGAGTCGTCCACCTCCATCAATAACGTTACGGTTAACTTATTTAATAAATTAAATACGATGCACCGTGCTCGGCGAACAAGATGGCGACAGTTCATCAACAACCAGCCACCAACGTCGTCTTTCTCTTTTTTGCAGCCAGGCTGTGCCGGCTGTTGTGTATCAATACGCTTACAAATGCTAAAAACGCACGTTTGCACCACCAGAAACAGCCGTTGTTTACTAAGCATGGAGGCTGCCATTGCTTGATAGCGATGCCAGTCAGACTGCCCTGCTTTTGACACTGACTTGCTTCTGAGCAACTGACAATTTGAAGCTAAAACTTTGGATTCTTACACGCTGCTACTGGGCGCGATTCCGAAATGATTCCTTTTTCAGTGCTAGTTCTCTTGGTTATTTTCACGCTGGGCCAGTGGACAGACAGGTCAGAGCAACTGTTCCTATGCGTAATCAACAAGATAAGCCAGCCCCTACTATTGGATGATAAGAATAGCATAGAATAAGGCAGAAGCCATTGCTTCACATGATACACCTGCAGACAGCTGCTGGTGTTAGCGTGTTAGAGCAACTGTTAGGTTCGTTCATGAAAGCTGTTGTTTCTGCGTGCTTTTGAACCTAGTGTCGATGCATGTGTGAGAATTGCGCCTAGCCACTGCTGGACAAAAAGGAAGCAGCCGACTCTTTTTGAATTTCGGAAATGAAAGTTTCTTTGTTTTGCAAGCTAAAGTTCGCTATATTTTATTTGATTTCACTACAACGAAAATTTTTCCACGTCCCACCAGTACCGTTGTAGCTCGGATGAAACTAACTGGGATGAAATCTTGAAGTCCTCTTAAATTTGGATTTCCAAAGGCCTGCTGTGTTAAGATATGCACGTTTGCTTTGTTACTCTCAGTTTAGAAAAAATTCTTATCTTAAAAAACAGCAAATGCATGATGTTTTAAAGACTACATGCTGTAATACAAAAAAATTAAAGACTACATGCTGTAATACAAAAAAATAATTGTATATTTTCTCATGTGTCATGGATTTTTGTAAATACCGCAACTGTTCAAGCTGTGCACTTACTTGAAAAGTATTTAACACAGATGCTATAGCTCATTGGCTTACATCTCACTGATACCGATTTCTTATTAATTCAAACTAACTAAAAAATTAGGTGCGGAAATACAGTACGTACTTGTTGACAGAAATTAAAAGGACCAGGAAGACATGGTCTATTTCATAGTAGCTCCATTTACTGAAAGATCAATGGGGCTGCGGAATAGAAGGATGAAACCAATAATACGAGAAGCAGTGGTTCCAAGTAACAGATGTCTGTTTATTGTTTTCTTGAAACTTTTAATAATTTGGTATTCGGTGTATTCAGACCTTTTTTCCGTTTTCTTGAAATTCAAATTGAGGAGTTCTTGCTGTATTTCCAGTAAGTGCGCTTACTAGGCGGCATAAAAAAAAAAAAAAAAAACTGAGCATAAGGCATGTGTACGCACTTTTGATATAAAGACATCAATAATGGATAGCCCACTCGCACACGCTGTGAATGACAGCAAATGGGCCAATAAGTGGCTGTATTGAACCTACTACAGTTCAAACAATAGAGTAACTTTTGTCTCGCACTTAGAAAAGTGAATTGGTATGAGGCAGGAGTTCAAATTTAACTGCATAAAAAAAGCCTATAGGTGTGGTAACCAAAGCTGATATTCAGAGTGGAGGTGAGATTTTGAGAGGTAGCCTGAAGTAGCTTGTTGGCCTGACGGCATTTTTTCTTTATTAAATCTGTGCAGTCTGCCTTTCACAGAACCTGTCCGCAAGCGGAGTTCTCGCGCGAAACAACGTGGCCCTTTTGACGGTATCCTGGTGTCTCAGTTGTTGGCACAACGCGACCAGAATGCTCTGCGGAAGCAGGCTGTCAGCAGTTGCGCCTCTACAAACACGAATGCCCCGGTGCATTACACTAACTCCATCACTGGTTCTGTGCCCTGGCAGGCTACTGGATACTACCAGCCTCCTCAGGACACTGTGACCATCCAGTGCAGCAATACAAATGTACAGGGAAACAACAGCTTCCCTCCAGTGTCTAGTGGGATGAGGCCAGTAGTGGCCCAGGCCATCTGTTCACCTGCTCCTTTGCCACTGCAAACAAGTACCGGTACAAACTACCAGTGTGCAAACTACTCCTGCTGCCCGACCAAGCCCACTGCTACCCCCTCCTCTTCGGGTCGTTCGAGGGGACAGAAGAAATTGCCCCGTACGAGAATGCCGAAGCTGAGTGCCATCATATCCAGCCGTGCAGTGTGTCCAAATGTAGACGTTGGCCAGATGGTGGCAGCTGCTGGCCACTCTACAGCGAACGCTTGTCACGGGGTTCGTCAACCAAACTGTTCCACGCATGATGCTACTTCCCCTGCTTCCACGCCAAATGCTATGGCGGGGCCCAGGATTGGCCAGTGTAACACTGTGCACGTGGATAGTACTGGCCAGCTCACCACCTGTAGGACTGCATCGAAAGAAATCTCCATGCAGGTGCCACAGGTGGGGGGGCTGTCGGTCCTTAATGGAGCCCTGTCCATTCCTTCTCAGTGCAGCACTGCCATGACAAGTGCGCCTTTCATCTTCACAAGTGCACCCAGTGGTGGCATGATGAATCAGGGAAGGAGCACCATCATGGTGCAGCAGGTCTACAGCCAGAAAGTTGCCAGCTACTCTCCAAATGAAGCTGCTAAGGGCAGCCAAATGCTTCAGCACATGAGCAGTGTAGTTCTCCCTCCCGGTGCCGGTGGCCTCTCTGCACAACCCATGATCAGTGGAATCGTCGCCAACCATAGTCTCCAGCGGGCCTTTCATATCTCAGCTGGGCCAAGGGATTTTGGGCCAAACACATCCTACTCCCAGTCACTTTTCACCTCAGCAGCAGAGGTTTACTGAAGTGCCTCGCAGTTGCACAGAATGCCCGGTGACCTCCGCAACCCTGTGCACATCCTCGCTGTCAGCTCCTCAGGTTCTGCTGAGTGGCAACCCAAGCTCCAGCATCGTGCTTCCACCTTCAAACCCTCCCCTTTCTGTTCCCAGTGTGTCGACAGTGACAACATCCGTGGCACAGATGATGCCCACAGTGGTGCAGCTCATCAACCCGCTACCGCTGAACCAGGTGCAGAACGCACTGCTCTTCCCGCAGCTTCCAACTTTGCGGCTTGACACCTTACCCACATTCGGTGCTCCCGCTGGGCTCTTCAGTCCTGGTAGTACGTTCCTCTCACCTTCGCCAATCCCGGTTCTTGGATCGCCAGTGGGTTCAGACACATCCCCCGGTTCGTCCCTGCTGGGTCATGCCACCCTGCAGCCGTCCACATATGTCGATTCGGCGGGACAGGTGCGGTCACGTGAAACTACAGTGGCTGCACCTCGGACGTTAATGACAGCCAGTTTCGCACCCGGCACCGTACACGCCCTGGCAGCCACCCCACAGCCACCGCAGCAGCAGTCCTTCTACACCACAGATGCAGTTGGTGGCATGGTGCAGACCGGCCCAGTACATCACAGTGGTGCTGCTGCTCTGGCCGGTGCTCCATGCATGTCCTGTGGACCGGCTCCAGTGACTGAGTCTGTGTGCGACAGTGCCTCCTGTCGTCTAGGCCTGGCCAATGGGGTGAGTGCCATGGCCCTCTGGGGACCTGCTTGCTGAGGAAGGAGAGCGGGGAGTGGTTGCTGCTGCTGCTGCTAACCGCACGAGCTGACTTTTTTTCTGGTTGTGGTGGTGCCGGGAAATTGGATTTTGAGTGCTTGTAATGTGAGTGTGCGAGCGTGCGGGTGTGCACGTGTGTGTGTGGATGGGATGAGAGCACACCTTTGAGAGCTTGTATGGACACTCATATCCTTTGCCAGTATTTTCGTGTGCTTTCGTTAGGGTTCTTCCTTCTGCACAATTTCCTACTTTAGATTTTCAAGCAGAATGCTTGGCATGTTTTCATTGTTGTTGAATAAGACACTGGTATCTGTTATAGCTGTATTCTGTTAAGGCTGATCTTGTAGAAGTAGCGCCAGAGTCCTGATAGCACTTAGTGCTTATCAAAGTGGAATGAAAGAAGCACACGTGTGCATGAGCGCCAAGTTGTGCACGGCTGCACCTCAACACATAAAGGTAATCATAGATATCCAGTGCCCTAGCTGTCAACTTTTTTTTTCTTTTTTTAAGGAAAGCAATGAGCACCATTGCAGCCATTGTAAGAGCTCACATAGGTTTGTAGTGTGGCAACGTAAGCTGTCATTATTCTGTGGTCAAGTGATTTGCTGCACTTATCAAGCATGACTACAGACTTCGTTCGAAATAATCTTCAGTCCCATTACTTTTCGACAGGTACAACATATAGCTCAGGCTCTGAGAGTTGCCTGGCATTCCTTTAATTGATTTTATTTATTAATTCATTTATTTATTCTAGGTTGACCGACTCTAGCATTGTGTGAGAAAAACATACAAAAAGTGTTGCATAGTTTCTGCTAAAATCTTCCCCTCTTGGGCTATATGAAGAAACACTACATCAATATATATTTACTTTTAGACATTCGTTCATGGCCATTTTCTCATTATTGATTGTGCTTTTTACCCATGAAATATGACTTGGGAACTTCAGGCCGCTCTCAGAGGTAGTCTTGGAGTTTGCATAGTTTGCATGTTCAGATGTGATGCAATAAATATAATATATATTTATACAAAATGAAGCATAGCAATAACATACTGAGCACTGAATAGTACTGAGTGCAGCAGAAACACAAATATGGCTGCATAAATAGAAGTTGCAAGCCACGCTTTTTTTATAGGCTCAGCAAGTGTTCTTGTTATTTTTTTAATCTACTGCATCTTGTTTTGAACATTTGTATCAGTGGCATAATTTTAGTTGTCGGCAATTTAAGCGTGAAAGTAGGGCATTTGTAAACGCTGGCAGCTTCAAATATGGATTGTACATAGATTTAATTTTATCAATTCAAGTGTTTGCTGCTAGAATTTTAAGGTAGAACTTGTTTCTTAATTACATGGATAATTACATGGATTAGCAATTTTTATTGAAGTCAACAAGGAAAAATACCAATGCATGCTGTGACATATTTCGCTGGACGTTCTACAGAAAAGCTATGATGGCTACGCACAGCATTTGTTAGCCGTTCAGTAGGGATGCTGTGTCTTTGGGGAGCCTGCATGTTTGCTATAGCAATTTAAGAAAAGCCACCATGTGCTGAATCCTGCATGTCAACAGCCACTGGCAAAGATCTTTTACCTTGCGAGAATTTTTTTTGTTTTTTGCCATAAAGGGGTCATCTCCATAAAGGGGTCCTGATTCACTTCTCTAAGTGATCATCGAATGATCTCAGTGTCGAAGTTCATTGCTGTAAAAAAGCTGCCAATAACGAAAGTAGTTGCAGGGATTTGTCCCCGCACGCTTTGAGCGATCTTTCTCTCTCTCATCATCCTGATAAATGTGCTGCGAGCTATATAAACAGGTTATAAAAACGGGGCATGAGCATACTGCAGGAGCACAGTGATGTTCCGTGCAGAAATTTTCTCTTTTTCAGAGAATTTTCGCCTGCCATTTTGAGCTAAAGAGAAAAAGGGAATCTTTGTGATATAACAGGGAATTTCAGGAGTGGTCAAATTCCCCTATGACGACCGATAATTAGCAGTCAGTGTGCACCTCCATCTGCTGTAATCGGTTCTGACACATGGACCACGCAAACATTGCCTTTGAGATTTGTTTCTGATATTTACGTGGAGCGATTATTAGTTCACTCTTGGTGTTAGACTTGAAGACCACAATGTGCGGTGTACCAACAGTATATGAATTAATAATAATAATAATAATAATTAAATAATAAAGTCATTCTTTTTTTTCTGTGAGCGGCAGTGGAGGGGCAATTCATGGTTTCAAAAGCTGCCAGTACATGCATCATGTGTAATTATCGTATGTGTGTGCGTGGATCGGGGCAGAAATTACTACTGTTGTGCAGGGAAATATGCTGTGAATTTCGTCAACGTTTGCAGGGAGAAATCTCCGAAATAGGGAATTTTCATGTCTCTAAATAGAAATTCTTCGGCTTAGTACGGAACATCACTGCATGAGCATTCATCATCATTTGCATTCACCGACTCGCGGTGCGGCATTCACCGACTCAGGGTGCAGTTCCGGTGCACGCTAAACTACTGTGTAATTTTAGCACACTATAGAACGCAGCATTAGCGTGCGGCAGCACCCAGTGGCAAGAAGCACATCTTATGCAAGCACCACTCTTGATTTATTATTTTGGCATTTGCCAGGTGACAAAATGGAGTTCTCGCTAGTAGCTTCAAAGAATGCAAGGGCAGGCATCTGTGTGAAGAGAGGGCACTTGAGAAAATGGCAACATTGCACTCTACTTGTAAACACTGTTATGCATGGCAACGAAATTTGAGTGAGCTGCTCATGGCAATGTTAAAATGTGTTTTTCAACCAAGCAGATGAAGTGTTTCAGGACTTCTTAAGCTGGCATGAAAGACTTAGCATATGCCTAACCCCCTTCAACAGAAACAATGCTCCACATCATTTGGTGCTTTTCATGCATGTTGTTGCTGTTGTCATGGTGCACCAAATAAGACCATCTCTCAATTGTGACCACTGCTTTACAAGCTGCTTACTTCATTTGCTATAACTCTTGCATGTGTCAAACACTGAATTAGCATACGTTTTTTTCTTAGTATGCCTTCATGCGACTTTATTTACTGTGATTATAAATAAGACAATAAGTTCGTTTCTGATACAACAACTCAAGACTGTTCAGAAGGCCCACAATGCGGCAGTTAGGCTAGGCCACCGCGTCCCAATGTGGGAGCGGCCCGCGATCCCACCCCTATAAAACGAGGGCGGTATCCATCAGGACCCCAATAAAGTTTTTCATCCATCCATTCATATGCTCTTTGGCCTAACCTAACTTAAACTCGCATCAACTTTTACTGCAAGAAAGTTCGTGTTTTAAAATTAACTTTTCTTTGTCCATATGATACCTCTCTGCTGCAAACAGGTGCCTTTAATTCACCGGTGAGCTTGTTTGATCTTCAGTTACGAAAAGCAATGCCTGCTACTTCAAACTAGGCCAGTTATGCTGTTTAAAGAAGGCGATAGATTTTATGTTAGCAAGCTAAAGGAAAAAAGTATTTATGGCTAGGGTGGGTTTTGTGGTGTATTTAATTACATCACTGCATCACTGCACACTGTTCATTTATTTACTTCTTTTACTGGTACATATTCACCAGAAAAATCGGCGTTGGAATGCTTTTGTTTCCTTTGTGTTAGTTATTATACAAGGTACTGTCCTTACCCTGTGTTCACAGTACTGAAAATTGCTTGTACAGTTCACATACACAAACACATATGTTAATCAAGAGAGTTTATGTATGCATTTTACATTATGATTATTATTTCCTTTTTGTTTAGTCAAGATTGCTCAAAACAGGCCAAGTGTGTTTATATTGTGAAGAAATAGTAAGAGCTAGTTATTTACTCTATCATCACATTCGAAACGACATGGCAGCATTACATGGTAGTACACGATGTTAGCCACTCGTGTGATTTCTCTTTTAATCTTTTTCGACTGGATTGTAGTAATTTCTTACTGCCACATTCACGTAGCAGCAAGAACAGCCTCAGGAAGAATTTTCGAGCTGGGCCAAAGTTATTGCATACACAGTGCGTCATAAATTGCTCTTTGCTGGCTGACTGAATGTTTCTGGCAGTTTTATGTCACGTCACTTGTTTTCTTCGAACAGAAAAAGGGCTTTGGAACTAAGTGATTTTACAACAGTGAGCAACAGGCTTTGATGTTTTATCAGTGCAGAGTTTCATTGTAGAAATCCTTGCAGGCCATCCAGTCTTCAGCCTAGCTTATCTTCATTTAATTAACATTCTTCACTTTTTGTGCATAATGAAGTATAACAGAAAAAGAGGAAAGCATGCAGGGAGGGTAGATGAAGGGCTCCTCACCAAGCATCACCAAGCACATCAGACGGGAGTTTTTGTTCTATCACCCAGTGACAGTCTGTGCTTGCTTAGTGTTTAGCTATCCAATTTGTACGCATACAGTCTTCTTAAGTGAGAGAGCTACATGGTCAGCCAGAAAGCCAAGTCTGCACTTGCTCATACTTTTTAAGACTCGTTTCTTGCTGTAGTGCCAGTTGCAGCGTACGACATTGGTCAGTTATCTAATGCAGAATGTACGGTACGATCATGTACCATCACTGGAAATGCACTGTGCTTTTCCCATGATGGTACTGTAATGGTCATGAAAAGGAAAAATTGAGGTGCCCATTTGTTCCCTTTGTGATGCCCCCATTGTGTATGGAGGGCATCAAGTTCCTGTCATTTGTGACGGGAACTTGATGCAGTCTCTCATATACACAATGGTAGATTGCAAAGAAGGAATTCCACTTGCCGGCGATAACTACAGAGAGTTAGTGTTAGCTTGAGCATGTCCGCTATACACAGCACCCTAGATCTATCAAAATAATCATTGTTGCCTGGTGAGGGGACCTTTAATAGGCTGTTACAATAGCAGTTTTATGAACAGCTTGCCCATAACGTGTCAGTATGCGTATACATGAGCAGTTTAAAAAAAGAGTATCAATAT